GAGAGTACTTAATGAAAGAAAGAGGCTTACTTTCAGTACTTTAGAATAATGCTACAATCAAATTTTATTTCAAAGCAAATTCTTTTTTTTTTTTTTTTTTTTTTTTTTTTTTGAGACAGAGTCTCACTCTGTCACCCAGGCTGGGGTGCAGTGGCACAATCTCAGCTCACTGAAACCTCTGCTTCCCGGGTTTTCTCCTGCCTCAGCCTCCCGAGTGTCTGACTGGGATGACAGGTGCCTGCCATCGTGCCTGGCTGATTTTTGTAGTTTTTAGTAGAGACGAGGTTTCACCATCTTGGCCAGACTGGTCTTGAACTCCTGACCTCATGTTCCACCCGCCTCGGCCTCCTGAAGTGCTGGCATTACAGGCGTGAGCCACTGCACCCTGCCTATTTCAAAGCAAATTCTAAGTATCATGTCATATTAAATACTTCATGAAGTTTACACTTTCAGGACCTAGGATAACGTTTTTAAAATTACTTTCTGGCTTAATACTTCCAGAACATAGTATAATGTTTTAAAGATTAATTTCTGGCTTAATTTCCTGTTTGTTTTAGGTGGTGAGTTGCCTGGATAATGTTTTTAATTTTTTGTAGAGACAGTTTCTTATTATGTTGCTTAGGCTGGTCTCCAACTCCTGGGCTTAAGCATTCCTCCTGCCTCCGTCTCCGAAAGTGTTGGGATTATAGGCATGAGCCATGAAACCAAACAAGAAAACTTTTTTAGGTGGCATCTTATTGAACGACACATAATGTCTAGTTGTCCCACCTTTAGTGATGTTAAGATTGATCAGTAGGTTCAGATGTTATTAGTCTAACCCCTCCATTATATACCTTGCCCCATCATCTTTTCACCTAATGATTTTAGCAGCTGCTGAAAATCACTTCATATATTATTGTAGAATGATTCTGTTCATTTTGGCCAGCTCAGTGGTTGCTTAAGTAGAGGGGTGAATTCTTGGAGCTTCCTACTCTGTCTGCCATTTTCTGTGCATCACTCCTTGAGTTAATTTTTGTATATGGTGTGAGGTAGGGTTTCAACTTCATTCTTTTTCATGTACTGAAAATACTTTTTTACTTTCAGTAAGAAACTTACTTAACTGCCTACCATCCGCCATGCTCAGTAGCCTTGGTGATGGTGGCCCATATTTGTGGTGTAGCTTGCTGGTGCCAGGAGGAACATGGACCTTGTTCTCAAAAAATTGTGGTTGTGTTTTTTGTTGTTGTTGTTGTTTTTATCTCTGGCATTCCCTGAGAGGCTGGCACAGAGATTAGCCTTTGTTTCACCTCCCATCAGGCTTAAGTGGCTTCCTAAGTGGCATCTATTGAAAAGATTTAAAAAACATACTACCCATAGCCACCTGAGGCAAGGGAGAGCAGACAAGACAAGCAGCAAACAAAAGCCTGGGAAGGAGGAAGCTGAGGAAGAAGATAATTGGTGAAATAAGGGTTTTGCTGGGCTACCACGTGTACTGAGGAATCCACCAAAAGTATGCTCACAAAAGACCTTAGAGCAGGGGTCCCTAACCCCCAGGCCATGGACTGGTACTGGTCCGTGGCCTGTTAGGAACTGGGCGACACAGCAGGAGGTGAGCAGTGGGCAAGCGAGCATTACCACCTGAGCTTCGCCTCCTGTTAGATCAGCAGTGACATTAGATTCTTACAGAAGCACGAAGCCTATTGTGAACTGCACATATGAGGGATCTAGGTTCCATGCTGCTTATGAGAATCTAATGTCTGATTGTCTGAGGTGGAACAGTTTCATCCCGAAACCATCCCCCCATCACCCTGCCCCATCCATGGAAAAATTGCCTTCCACGAAGCCAGTCCCTCGTGCCAAAAAGGTTGGGGACCACTGTCTTAGAGGACCCTAGGCTTGGACCTCTGGATGTTCTTTGGGCTCCATGCAAGTAGGAGTTGGGCTAACACAGAATTGTAAGCAGCCTAGCTCACTGAATGATTACCCAGCTCAGAGTCAATCTGCAAAGACTGGGAGAGTGTGTCTTGTTTTGTTTTGACGCCAGGCATTTAAGGAAATCTCTGTCAGGTCATTGACTGACCGCTGAGGTAACAAAGAGACTTCAGTGACCACGTACCATAAACAAAATTTACTCAAACAAATCAGTGATCTAAATATAGCAACTAAAACTATAAAACTCATAGAAGAAAACATGGCGATAAATCTCTATGACCTTAGATTTAAGGTCATCCTCTATGGCAGTGGATTATTAGATATGACACCGAAAGCATCAGTGATAAGTTAAAAATAGGTTAATTGAACTTCATCAAAATTAATAACTTCTGTTCATCTCAGGACCTAATCAAAAAAACTGAAAAGACAACCTATAGAATGGGAGAACATTTTTGCAAATTATATATCTGATAACAGTCTACTATCCAGAATATATATAAAGAACTCTTATAACTCAACAACAAACAGATGAATAACTTTTAAATGGGCAAAGGACTTGAATAGGTATTTCTTCAAAGAAGATGTACAAATGGCCAGCAAGTACATGAAAAGATGCTTGGTGTCATTAGTGATTAGGGAAATGCACATCAAAACCACAATAAGATACCACTTCATACCCACTGGGATGGTTGTGATCAAAAGAACAAAAATAACAGGTTTTGATGAGGATGTACAAAAATTGGAACCCTTATACGTTGCTTGCATAAATATAAATTGGTGGTACAGCTGCTGTGGAACGCAGTTTAGCAGTTCCTCAAAAAGTTAACGTAAAGGCCGCGCACAGTGGCTTACGCCTGTAATCCCAGCACTTTGGGAGTCCAAAGTGGGTGAATCACTTGAGTTCGGGAATTCAAAAGCAGCCTGGCCAACGTAATGCAACCCCATCTCTACCAAAAATACAAAAAGTAGCCAGGTGTGGTGGCGGGTGCCTGTAGTCGCAGCTATGTGGCAGACAGAGGCAGGAGAATTACTTGAACCCTGGAGGTGGAGGTTGCAGTAAGCTGAGATCACATACTGCACTCCAGCCTAGGCAACAGAGCAAGACTCCATCTCAAGAAGAAAAAAAGGGAAAAAGATAAAGTTAACACAAAATTGTCATATAACCCACCAATTCTCTTCCCAGGTGTATACCCAAAAGAAGTCAAAGCAAATATTTAAATAGTTGTACATGTGAATGTTCATAGCAGCACTATTCACAGTAGCCAAAAAGTGAGAACAACCCAAATATCCATTAACTAATAAATGGATAAACAACATGATATATCATACAATGGAATATTATCCAATCATAAATATTATATTCCTGTTCCACTCCTTGCCCATAATACCTCATTCTGCCATGTGATTCCCTCACTGTTCTGGGAAGGGACAGTGTGTTTCTTTTTGGACACTGCACATTATCTACCTGGCCTGTTCTTGTCACACACCAGGCACTTAAATATTTAAACACTGAATGCCATACTGTTTGCCATGTGATTTGTAATAGGAAAAATTTAGCAGGAAGGAGGTTATTGGGGAGGAAAATTTAAACTTAAAATACTCTAGAATGATTAAATTAGGAAGCATACTAAATGAATGCCTCATATCATTATTATAAAGACCATATAGAAAAATTACATTATAATAACAGTTATATTAAAATGATGAGGGGAAATAAAATTAACATAGTTTGATTGCATGACTTAGGAATAATATACTTCTTTTAGCTAGGTATCTATTGATATTTTAATGCTTCTGCAGTTGCTTTAGAAAGATAAAATGATTAGGATTTTAGTGGAGATGAACTCTATTTTTCCTCTGAGTAAAATGTGCATATTCATTCAGATAATTGATTCAAAAATACTTCATGGATAAGATTGCTGTAGACTATTGAAATAAAGTAGGCGGGCACAGTGGCTCATGCCTGTAATTCCAGCACTTTGGGAAGCCGAGGCAGGTGGATCACAAGGTCAGGAGATCAAGACCATCCTGGCTAACACGGTGAGACCCCGTCTCTACTAAAAATATAAAAAATTAGCTGGGCGTGGTGGTGAGCACCTATAGTCCCCGCTACTCGGGAGGCTGAGGCAGGAGAATGGCGTGAACCCAGGAGGCAGAGCTTGCAGTGAGCCGAGATGGCACCACTGCACTCCAGCCTGGCAGACGGTGAGACTGTCTCAAAAAAAAAAAAAAAAAGAAATTAAGTAGTGTGATCAAAAGCATAAGTAGGGGAGATGGACAGAGAAAGGGAAGATGTTGGTCAAAAGGTACAAAGTTTCAGTTAAAGAGTATTAGGTTCTAGCTATCTATTGCACAGCACAGTAACTAGTTAATAATGTATATTTCAAAATAGCAATTATAAAAGAAAATGGATTTTAAATGTTACCATGAAGAAATGATAAGTATCTGAGGTGATGGATATGTTGATAAGCCTGATTTAGTCATTCCATAGTGTACATGTATTGAAACATCACATTATATCCCATAAATGTATACAATTATTATTTGTCAATTAGAAATAAGATACTTTTTTAAATAAAATGAGGTTATTAAAGGCACAATAAAAGCATAGGGGAATAGTTTACATAGACTGGATTATTAGAGAAAGTAATTGCAGGGATGATACAGATGTAAAACTTAATTAGGCCTAGATTATAGGACTACCTTGAGCTACCAAACCAACGAGTTTAGGTTTTATTGGATAGTGAGGAGTGCTGACTGCCTTAAAACCTAATGCTTTAGAAAAGTTAGTCTGGAGACTTTTTCGGGGTGAAATGTCAAGGGAGCAGCCTCAGAGTCAGAGAAGTACAGCTTTCCAGACTAAGTAAGAACCTGATAGAGAGGGCTAACAGAGTGAGGGCGCAGCAGGGGAAGTGAAGGGAGAGAAGGGCATTGTCTATGCTTGAAAAGGTTAAAAAGTTAACTTCAATCTGCACTTTTCTCTCCTCAGTATGCTCGAGAGTTTATCTTTCAGTTGCATCTTCTGTCCCTGTTAAAAAGGTAGTTTTCTCAGATCCCCTGGAGTACTAACAGTGGACTTCTCTCCCTAGGGTTATGATAATTCGGAGAGCAGTGTTCGGAAAGCTTGCGTCTTCTGCCTGGTGGCTGTTCATGCAGTAATTGGTGATGAACTAAAACCACATCTCAGTCAACTTACTGGCAGTAAAGTAAGTAGTGCTGCTGTGTTTTAAAGATGGTGGCCATAGTGCATCCTTCAAAATTTAGTCATATGTCTGTAACGGTAAGCTTTTTATTTGGCATTTAATAAGTCAGACTTTGAGCATCCAACTTGCCCTTAATATATCTATTTTGTATTTTATCTTTTTCTACTCTGACATTTGTTAGATGTTCACTCAGGTGAAGTCAGCAGCTTGTTGGGATGGTTGGTAGGTTTCTGTGAGAGAAAATGCCTTCAGCTTCTAGTTATTTTTAATAGTCAGCTGACTTCTTACAAAATCCCGGACCCAAATCTTTACCCCTAAGCACTGTTTTATTAAGAATAAATAGACTGTTATGGTTATATATTCATGGATTACTGTATATCTCGCAAAATATAGAATACTTGCACATTTTAAAATTTTTCCCTTAAGAACTATGATAATCAAATTATCCTTCTCTATTATCCAAATTAATGTGCAACTTTAACTTAGTATGTTAAAAGTTTTCTGATTCATTGTTCAGGCTTAAAAAATGAGTAAGTCTTGCCTTCCTCATTTGATTGCTACTACCAGAACTTTGAAATTTACTAAGGTAGCCAAAGTGGTTCATACCCGTAATCCCATCACTTTGGGAGACCGAGGCGGGAATATCACTTGAGACCAGGAATTTGAGACCAGCCTGGACAACAAATTGAGAAGACCCTCTCTCTAACAATAAAAATAATAATAATTGTTTTGAATTAGAAGTTTGTTCTCAAGGGTGAAGATAACTTACGATTGTTGAATCATGGCTTATGAACCATTTAGCAGAAAGCACTCACCGTCACTTAAAGAATTTCTCGGCCGGGCGCGGTGGCTCAAGCCTGTAATCCCAGCACTTTGGGAGGCCGAGACGGGTGGATCACAAGGTCAGCAGATCGAGACCATCCTGGTTAACACGGTGACACCCCGTCTCTACTAAAAAATACAAAAAACTAGCCGGGCGAGGTGGCAGGCGCCTGTAGTCCCAGCTACTCGGGAGGCTGAGCCAGGAGAATGGCGT